ACTCACCTTCTCGTGTCGTTCGCTTCCCACCGACTACTATATATTATATTATATATAATATATATAATATATAATGAATGAATGAATAGATAGATAGATATATGTATATCTTTTTAAGAGAAGCATCTTTTCTTGTTGAAAAGTTCTATAGTAAGCGAGCTAGTTATCAGACTACACTCGATCTCGTATATGAATTTGTGAGTAATGCAGTTGATCCAGTCAATGTCTTGCAGCTGAAAGCTGTGCTGGAGGAAATTGAAAGCAGGTCTTCTAGGAAAGAATATGCACAAGCTCTTGCAGAATGCCACCGTTTATATTGTGAACAACGTCTTTCGTTGGTATATAAGCTGATTTAGTTAAGTGCTTTCTCTCTCTAGTTCACCTTCTTTTTGAATGTAGTTCTCATTGATACCTCTTGCTTAAACAGGTAAAGGGAATTGTGCAGCAACGGATCTTTGAGTTTGCCAAGAAAGAGATGCTGCCTTCGTTGACGAGATCTGGATGTGCATATTTAATGCAGGTTTAATTTGAATTTTGACAGTGTTAAGGCTTACCACGTAGTGGAATCTCCAATCACCTCCTAATAATTTTCGTGTTGCTCACTTCAGTAGAAAATTATAAGATGAGAAATAAAAATGACAAAGTTAAATGAAACAGAAAGCATATTGAAAGACAAATATTGTGTTAGTATCACAACTTCTGTCGACTGATTCAGCCGTGATTGATCCGTAAGTATCATGTATTCGTGTTCTTGACTCTTGTCATGGGGATTGATGTCTTGTATGTGCAACAGGGTTGCAAAACTTTTTAATCTGTTAGTTTTCTAATGTGTGGTTTTCACTCCTTAGTATTGTAGGCTCTCTTGTCTTTGATTTTGTAATTCTGAACATGGAGGCCTCAAACTTGATTCTAGAGATTTTGTGATATTGAACTTAGGATGGGAGTATCCACTGTTAGGCATGAACTGCATGTAATGGTAAAGAACATAAAAATCAGTTATAGTCACCTTACATGTTCCCTTTCTCATGTCCTTACTCCATGAGATTGAAGCCTCTAATGTGGAAAACTCGTTGCAAGAATGGATCAGTTATACTTCATTCTACTTTACTCTCTCTCTCTCTCTCTCTCTCTCTCTCTTCTATATATATATATATATGTATATATATAAAACATCACCTCCTGTACTGGTTCCTTCCCTTTCATGCTTCAGAGCCAGGATCCTGCAATTTACAGGGAATTCTATAATACCTTAGGAGGAGACAACATGCTCTCTATCTCTCTCTCTCTATATATATGTATATATATTTATGTGTGTGTGTGTGTGTATGTGAAATAGGTATATAACATACCTCCAAGGCCCTGCAACTTGCAGGGAATGCTATAATGCCTTAGGAGGAGGCACCATGTCATCTGCTGCTTTTGTATTATGTCTGCATGCCCTATGCGTCTACTTGTTCATTTGCCTCTCATAGTGATAATCTCCTAATGCTAGTAAAATCACTACATAATTGGAGATCCTTATCATCCTTATATTGTTCCTCAGCTATCTTCTATGTTAATTTGGCTTTGGCACATCCCATCCGAAAGATACAAAACATGTGGAACTTTGTAACTGAGTTTTTGGTGAGACTCAACCAATTCTGGGTCTCATCCGAGTCTTACCAATCTCTTTGTTCATTATTATTATAAGATAACAACTTCAGAAAAAATAATAAACATTTTCATTCTGTGTTTTAATACGGTTAGTTTCTGAGTGAAGTAAAATTGGACTGAGCTTTATTGCATAATGTCTTTTATCTTCTTGTCATGGGGCTTAAAAATCTTGTATGTGCAACAAGGTTGCACAACTTTTTAATCTAGAAGTTTTTGAATGTGATATTTTCAGTTCTGGCTATTTTAGGCTTTATGTTTTGAGTTTGATATTGTAGTTCTTAATATATTGCACAAACGGAAGCCCCAACCTTGGTTCCAGACGTTTTGTGATATTGAAAGTATCCACTATTAGGCATCGACTTCATGAAGTGATATCAGAGAACAGAAAAATCAGTTATAGAGGCCCAGCAGGCTGTTTCCCTCTCAAAACATGTCCATGGCAGTCTCCTAGTGGCTGTATGATCAGTATATTATTGGAGGTTCTCATTGTCCTCTTATATTGTTCCTCAGCTATCTCTTCATCTACCTGTGCTCAGGACCTCAGATTTAGGTTTCAGCACTCTTCTATATTTGATTTAGCATTGGCACATCCCATGCTAAAGATGCAGCACATGCAAATCTGTATGGCTAATTGAGTTTTGGGTGAGACTCAACAAATTCTGGGTCTTATCCAAGTTTGTTATTATATAATAGTACTTTAGAAGAAAGTTAGTTACCGAGTTAAGTAAATTGGACTAACTTTTATCTCAGTAGTTTCTGTTCTTATTAATCAGGTTAACCTTTGTATAAAGGCTGGGACTGGGCTTTATACAATCGACCAAGGCTAATTGTGAACTTTCTTAGTATATTAATGTTTACCTTACCTTACTGAAATGCATTATTGGTTAAGTTTGTTTTGATATTTAATGTGTTTGATAATTGTTTCATGTTTTAGTTAATGCGTTATTTTAGCAATGGTTGGTATGACCCTGAAGGGAGAGTTTTTAATTGTCTGATATTGATGCACTTTGAAGGTTTGCCAGCTTGAACACCAGCTCTTTGACCATTTCTTTCCATCTTCATCTGCGGATGTTGCAAACTTGGCTCCATTGATAGATCCGTTGTACGTTTTGTTTTCTTTCCCTACTATCCACTTAAATTTCTCATCTATGTAGGTTAAGATCAACCTCAGGGGCAGGCATCATAAATTCCGAGTTACTTTAAATGAAGATCTTTTTTTGAAGTTATTTGAGGGATGGATTTGTTTTTGATTTTCTTATCATCACTGACGGTAAGTTTAGGGCATGACTGCTGTCTGCTAGATTTTTGTAAGGTGTTCGGGAATTTCTGGAATAAAATTTTTTAGATGGTTTGCTAGGATCTAATGAATTTCGGAAACCTTAAGTTGGAAACTATCTTTTCTAATTGTTTTTGATAGCTACTCTTTGTTTGAGTTATCCTCAGAAACTGTTGTTGATTTGTCATCAGATTTATCTTAGTGCGAATTAATGACTGAAGGCTGTTTTTAGCTTCCAAATGTGGCATGCGTCTCGAATATGTCATTTGCTAGGAAACTTCTATGTGATATCAAAAAACACTAGCAGTCAAGAATTAGTGACCTTTTAGCTTTGTGCTGAAAAACTAACCACAAATTAAATTTTAAATTCTGGTCTATAAAATTGAATTCCAGGTGCACTTATTTGTATGATATTCTTCGCCCCAAGCTCATTCATGAGTTGAATCTTGATTTCCTTTGTGAGCTTATTGATATTCTCAAAGTCGAAGTCTTGGGGGAACAACTTGGAAGACGAGGCGAATCAGTTGCAGGATTACGCCCTACTGTAGATAGAATTCTAGCAGATGTCCATGAGCGATTGACATTTCGTGCTCAAACATATGTTCGTGATGAGGTATGGCTTGTTGCATGTGATTAACTTTTTCAATTCCTTTAAGCAACTTTCAGAGATGATTTCAACCATTTTCCTTTCAAAATGTTTACTTTGTTGTATCATATTGTTTACACTGAAGACAAGCTGCTTAGGTTTTGTGGCTTAAGCATATTTTTCTTTTTGCCTTTGCATTATCCTGTTATGCATTTGTCCTTTGCTCTTCATCTTTTATTGCTGAATTGAAAGATATTGATTTTTAGTTTAAATATGCTGTATTACCCTCTCTCTCCATATTATTTGTCATTACTGTTATTGTTGTGCCTCTTTCGTAGCTTGGTCTATTTCTTGAGAAGTGGTTGAACTCTTGGAAAATCTATTATTTCCGTTCTTGAATCAGTAGTGATTACATTTTCCATTCTCGAATCATATATTCCATCCTAATTCAACAAAAATCCTCAAACACTAGAAGCAAACTGACCCCCTGCCGGTCTATCCTCTTCGCTATCACCACACTACTCTGCCTGCAGAGAAGCAGAACAGTTGGACGAGAGTATCTTGGATACGCTCGCCTCGTAGGACTCCCCCACACCAGTTTCCCCGCCATGCTTACCATTACCACCACCCGCCACTTGGTAGAACTACTCTCCCACCGCCTCAAACTTCTCTACCACCACCATCTACCTCCTACCTTCCGCCACCTGAGAGACCGGTGTTCCCGCCGCCTCGCCCCCCACCTCAAACTTCATCACCTGCACCGCATCCCTTCCCCCCTATGCCACCACGTCCACCACCACCACCACATCCACTGCCCCCGCCATCCCCCCCCACTCTCTGCCTCTTTCTGCATTGGACTTAACCACCCCTGTGTTTTTTCCTGGTGCGTTGGCTGAGGAGCTGCCGGCAGTTGACCGACTGGCCACGAGGCACTCTCGAGTCTCTCCAGCCTCGCATCCTGGCACATTGGGCAAGGAGCCAGCAGCTTCCTACCACCTTGCCACATGGCATCATCTGCAATTTCCGGGTCGGGCTGATCCATCTTTAACGTCACCTCGTCAGGACTTTCTCCTGCGACCGTATTGATGCCTCTGCCTTTACCCATCGCTTCAGCTTCTTTCGTCCCTTCTAGGGTACGTTTGGATGACTCCACGCATGCCTCTGCATGCCCATCGTTGCCGCCCCCGATGCAAGACATCTGTCTACTGCCACCCTCCCTGCCTTCCACCTAACACCCCCTGTTGTCCCTTCCCGAGATCACCGGCTCCCTGGGAACTGTTCACCCTTACTCATCCTCTCCTGCAAAAATTTTATTCGGCAACTTGCCAGAATCACTCCATCTGCCTCCTCCCCAGGATGACCGCCCAGAGGTTCACCCACTCCACCGTCACTTCCATTGCTGTTACACACTGCCCCTTGGCTCAAATGCCTTCATCACCTCCGGACATCCCATCGCCTGATACATCTGAGACCCTCCGCCTTCCCTCGCTTAACCCATCACCTATGGCCCTTTCTTCACAACCTATTCATTCTAGTTCAAACAGCACCTGCTCTACTGCTCCCCCTCATCGACCTCCTTTCAAACTGGGGGGACGACTTGAACTTTCAAGACCTCTCTCCTCCTCCTGATCCAGAGAAGAACCCAGAAGGCATGGACCCTTGAACCCTGGTGTTCCCTCCCGTTCTCGTGGGTGTTCCGGCTGACCCCACCAGTGATGAACCCATCATCATCTTGGTATCGGTGGTCACATTTTCCTCTCTGCCCCCAATCATCCCCAACCTCGCACCCTCTCCTCTTGTACACCCAACCCATCCACAACCTGACCCCTTTGCCGCTCTCCTCCCACCCAATTTTTCGAACTTCATTCTGCCTGCCCACTAGAGAGACCCTACCTTTTTACCTTACTTCCCCTCTCTCCCCCCTCCCCTCGACTTTTCTCCTTGCTCCCCAACCACCGCTTTGACTTTGCCACTCTCACCTACCCTTACCCACCCCTTTATTGTTACCCCCACCACACCAGGTTTGGTCACCAACCCATTTGTGACAACTTCTCCTACTTCCTTTTCTCCTGAACCTGCTGTGGCCTTTTCTTCCTGCTTCTCTCCTCTTACCTCTCAGGCCACTCCTTTTTCTCCTTCCACTTCTTTGATTGATAATGTCACCCACACTCAAGGGGATCCTTTCGGGCTCTTCTCGGGTATCTTCCGACCCACAGAGGCAGACGACCTTCCATTCCCTGTGTTGCCGGCATTACCATTGCCTTTGGCTTCTTCCCCTGATTTCTCTCCAGGAGCTTCTATCTCAGTTGATACTATGGGGGACCCTCTCTCCCCTCCTTCAGTGGACTCCAATTTTGTCGACGGCATTGACAAAGGACATGGCCAGATTCTGGAGGTCATGAAAGTCATGGGTTTCCCACAAACCGAACGCAATGAACACTTTCAGGAGTTCTTCAAGGATGAATTGAAGGATCGCGTTCGGGTAAGCAAGAAGGGTTCTCGTGAATTAGCCAATTTGGCCTGCAACATCAATTACGACTGACCCTCTTCTTCTAACATTTCTACCTCTCCTATACCTCCTAAGCACCGGCCTCTTGGGCGCATCTTTAGGAACTCACTTCCATCTCCTGCTTTTACATGCTGATCCTATCTTGGAACATTCGTGGCCTTGGGCAAACCCATAAAAAACAGGCAGTTAGGGATCTTTGCTGGAGACAGACGAATTGTGTTGGCCTTTACAGAAACAAAACTACCCAATCCGACGTTGTCTCTCGTTCGAAAAGTTTGGGGTCGTTGACCCTGTCAATGGGTAACCCTCCCCGCGGAGGGTGCTTTGGGGGGAATTTGGATGATTTGGGATCCTACAGCCCACTCCCTACATTCTTCCCACTTGAAGAGATTCTCCGTCTCCATCTCTCCAAAATTTCTGACAGCCTTCATTGGAAATTCTCAGCGGTCTACTGACCTAATTCTGATGCTGATAGACCCATTCTTTGAGACGAATTGAGCCTTATCGCGCAACTTCCTCACCAGATTTCAACATGATTAGGTGGGGATTTCAACATGGTTAGGTTGTCCCATGAGAGAAACTCCTCCTCCAGAATTACTCCGGCAATGTCCGCCTTTTCCGAATTTGTTGCCCTCAACAATTTGGTCGACCTACCCATTCAAGGTGCCCAGTTCACCTGGTCTAGTCATGCCACCAACCCATATCTTTCCAAACTAGACCGTTTCTTGATCTCCATTGATTGGGACACAAACTTCCTTGGAACCCATTCTTCAGCTCAACCAAAACCTTCTTCAGATCATTGTCCCATTTTACTTGACACTAAGATTATCGACAATGGCCCGAAACCATTTAGATTTGAACTCACTTGGTTAGAAGAACTTGATCTTCTTAACCAATTCCCCATTTGGTGGCAATCGCTCTCTAACCTAGTAGAAGGTTGGGCTGGGTTTAAACTACAGAGAAAAATCCAACTTTTGAAGAATCATCTTAAAACTTGGAGTAGGGGTCTTCCGGGATTCCTTGGGCCTCAAAAATCCTTAACCCTGCAGTCCACTCAATCCCTAGACCTCCTTGAAGAATCTAGACCACTCTTGGACAGTGAACTCATCAGCAGAGATGAGCTCAAATTCCAATACCAATCAATCCTCAAGAAAGAGGAAATTTTTTGGTATCAGAGGTCCAGGATTAAGTTGCTGAAGGCAGAGGACCTCAACACAGGCTACTTTCATAGAACTGCTATTTGTAGGTGCAGTGACAATAGTATCACCCATCTTCAAGTGGGGGATAATCGCTTGGACCAAACTTCTGAGATCGAGCAAGCCATCCTTGGCTATTTTCAAAATCTTATCTCTGCCCCACCATCTTCTCGGCCTCCCATGGGTAACCTCGATTTCTTGATTCTCCCTTCAGACAAGGCCTCGTGGCTAGAGAGGCTGTTCTCTGAACAAGAAATCTTAGCAGCCATTTCTGATTTGGACTCGGATAGAGCTCCTGGTCTTGACAGGTACCTTATTGCTCCCTTCAAAATGTTCTAGGACTCCTTTAGAACAGATTTCCTAGACCTATTCAATGAATTCTACTATAGAGGGGTTCCTTCATAGGGCTTTGAATGCTACTTTCATCATACTTATTCCCAAGATCGAAGGAGCTTCTCAACTCAAAGACTATCGCCCTATTTGTTTGATCAATTCCACTTACAAAATCCTTGCAAAAGTTCTAGCCTCTCGTCTCAAAGAGGTCCTTCCCCTAGTAATTTCTCCTATATAAAGTGCTTTCATTAAAGATCGCCAGATCTTGGATGGGGCATTAGTAGCCCATGAATGCATACATTCAAGAAACTTAGCCGGGGTACCTGGCATTGTCGTTAAGCTCGATTGGGAGAAGGCTTACGACCATGTAGATTGGGACATTCTTGAAGAAACCCAGTCTAGGATGGGTTTCGGTTCTAGATGGAGAACCTGGATGAGAGCTTGCTTCTCGCACCCTTTCTTCTCCATCCTTATTAACGGTAACCCCAAAGGCTACTTCCCCTCTACTAGAGGCCTCAGACAGGGAAATCCCTTATCCCCCTTTCTCTTCGCAATCGCAGCCGAGGTTTTCAGCCTTTCTCTTTCAAGAATGTACTCGGCTGATCGCTTGCATGGCTTCTCGGTCTGCCGTAGAGCTCCGACAGTATCTCACCTCCAATGTGTCGACGACACATTGGTTTTCTGTAATGCCTCACCCACTAGAATTCATAACCTCTTCCTGTTTCTTAGATAAAGTGGACCGTAGGCTAGCTGGTTGGAAAGGCCGTTTCCTCTCCTCAAGAGGACGACTTACTTCGATCAAAGCAACACTTGCCAACATACCGGTTTACTAAATGTTTATTTTTCATATGCCTGTAGCTGTTAGTTCCAGGATTGAATAGATGATGAGAAGATTCTTTTCCAACAACAAAATCCATCTGATAGCATGGGACAAAATATGCCCGACCGAAAATAGGGGTGGCCTTGGAATCAAGAACCTCAGAATTCAAAACAAGGCACTACTAGGAAAATGGTGTTGGCGTCTCTCAACACTGAGCAACCAATTATGGATTGATGTCTTAAAATGCAAATATCACTTGCCGAACTCTCCTTGGCTACCGAACTGCAGGGCTAACCAGAGGTCCTTGGGCATGTGGAGATAAATTTGCTCTACCTTTCCAACCTTTTTGTCCCGTATTATTCCATCCTAGGTTGGGAAATAGAATTGTCTTCTGGTCAGACCTGTGGATAGGGCATACCCCTTTGAAGGACAAATTTCTCGATCTCTTCTCCTTGGCCAGAGATCAGGGAGCAACTGTGGCTGACGAAATGCGACCGGCAGGGCCTCTTCGATCATGGAACCTAGATTTCAAAATGGTGCTCAATGATCTCGAAACTGAGAGCTTCATCACTCTAGTGGCAGAACTCCAGGCCTTTTCCATAGCACCATCAGGGCCTGATTGCATCATTTGGTGTCCTTCACCATCAAGGGACTTCTCGGTTTCCTCTTTCTTTCGAAGCCTTTCTCTTCCACCCAGTGTTTCAAAAAGCGGACCACCCAACACCTGGGCGGCTGCCTAGGCAGTTCAGGAGGCCTGGGCGCATCGCCCAGGCCTAAGCGCCAAAAATAGGTGGAAACCTTGGGTGGCCGCCTAGCGCCCAGTGCCCAGACCTGGGTGGTCGCCTAGGGACTGCGCCCTGCCCAGAGGTTGAAAAGGCACTCAGTGGGGGCATTTTGTGTCATTTGTTTTGATATTAAGGGGTAAAAAATGTGGGTTTTAGTTTCATTTGAAACCTAAAACTCGTTAGAGCCCATTTTAGAGAGAGAAAATCCCCAAAAAAAACTAGTTTTTAGTATTTTTTTAAGATCGAAGGGTTTCTTAAAGTTAGGAGAAATTGATCAAAACATCACCCATTGATATTAGATTAAATTTTTGATATTTTATAAATCTATTGGGGGGTTTTTTAGAAGATTTTGAGTCCTTAGAAGCATCTTTGAGGTAGAAGTTTGGAGATTGAGCAATCAAACTCGAAGTAAGTGATTTTTTTTATTGCTTGTATAAGTTGTATTATTTTGAGATGTCTTCTTCGGGATCTAATAGGAATGGTGATCCTGGTTATGGCTACAACCCAGATCCTAATAATAAAATTGCATAAGATGCAAGTTTTGCAAGTTTTGTGAGAAGAATACAAAATGGGGCATAAACCGGTTCAAGAAACATATTGTCGGTTTTAGGGGGGATGCCTCATGTAAAAAGATTCCTGATGCTGTTAAAGAAGAAATAACCAATTTTTTGAGTGTGGTAAAAATGAAAAAAGATGAGAAATTTGCTTCCATAGCAGGGATTATGTTTGGGGTTTGGGTCAGTTATGATGATGATGATAGTGATGAGGATGTGGAGGGATGTCAAGAGGTAGAACAATCCATTATTAGGAGAAAGGGAAAGGGAGTTGTAATTGCTTCTGGTTTTGGGAGTAAGAAGCCTCGGGTTAAAGGTCCTATGGATAATATTTTGTCCCAACTTGACCTTGAGGTTGCAAGAGAGAAAACAAAGAAGCAAACCACTATTGAAAATAGAATGAGGAAGGAAGAGAGAGATAGAGCGGATTTTTTTTATTGCTACATGGTTTTATGAGGTGAGCATTTCTTTCAATACCGCTCGCTTAAGCAGCTTCGATGCCTTGGTAGAGGCAATTGGCCAATTTGGGTATGGGATGAAACCCCCAACCCCATATGAGCTTTCAGAGCCTCTTTTGAAAAAAACGGTGAGTGTCACGAAGGATGCTGTAGAAGTTAAGAAGGATGCATAGGCTCAATATTGCGTTTCTATTATGACTAATGCTTGGAGTGATAGGAAGAGAAGAAGTCAGATGAATTTGCTTGTGAATTGTCCTTTAGGGACTGTTTTTTTGAGTTTTATTGATGCATCTGATTATACCCATGATGCCCATTACATATTCCAAGTTATAAAGAAGGGAATCAAGGAGGTTGGGGAGCATCTTGTTGTACAGGTTGTCACAGATAATGCTCCTCCTAATGTTGCTGCTGCTAATTTGTTTCTCATAGCTTATCATATAATATTTGAGATACCATGTGCAGCACATTGTATAGACCTCATGCTTGAGGCTCTTGGCGGTTTAACCAAGATATCAGGTGCAGTGAAGGAGGCAAAGTCATATGGCCACCATCTCACCTTCAGCATAATGCGTAGATTTACAAAGAAGAAATAGATTGTGAGGCTTGGGGTCACGAGATTATCGACCTGGTACTTATGCCTAGATAGTATACATTCAAGGAGAGTGCAGTTGAGGCAAATGTTTATACTTCAGATAACTGGAGAGCATGCAAGTGGTCCAAGTATCAGGTTAGGAAGAAGGAGAGAGACATTACCATTTTTAAGGCATTTTGACGAGGGGTGAAGGACGCTCTTAAGGCATTTTTTCTTCTTGTCAAAGTCCTTCGCATGGTTGATAGTGGCAAGGCTTCTATGGGCTAGATATATGAGGCTATGGAGAAATGCAAAAGAGAGATAGCCCAAAATTTTGATGATGATGAGAACCGCTATAAGCCTGTTTGGAAGATTAATGATGAGAAGTGGGATTGGCAGCTACATCAGCCATTGCATGCAACTGGTTATTATTTGAACCCAGTTTTTTTTTATGTTGACAAGGATATACACACACATGACACAATTATGACTGGATTTAATAGGTGTGTAGATGTGCTAGTCCCTGATCCTGATATTCAGTATATTATATGTGCTGATGAGCTGATATATTACAAGTGCTCATTAAAGTCTTTTGGGAGTCCAATGGCGATGATGCAAAGGACCAAAATTGATCCAGGTAGTAATAATATTCTTAAGTTTATTAAGTTCATGTAATCAAGTTTCATTTTTATAATTCTATTATTTATTTATGATTTTATTATCATTGCAGCTAATTGGTGGAGCCAACATGGGTGTAGTTCTCCAAATTTACAAAAGTTGGCCATTCGGATCTTATAACCTAGCCACTTTCTCGTTTGGTTGTGTGCGCAATTGGAGCACTTTTGAAGGGGCAAGGGTAATTTGTATAATTGTATTAGTATTACATGAACTGTAGATTATAATTATTTAATATTTATATTAATTAGTTTCATTTGATTTTATTAGATTCATATAAAGAAAAGGAGCAGGCTTGAATCAAAGAGGCTCAATGACTTAGTCTATGTCAAGTATAATCGATTCTTGAAGGACAGGTTTGCTAAGAGAGATAAGAGAGACCCCCTCAGATCAAAAAATATGGACAATGCTATGGAGTGGTTAGTTGATGAGGATGAGGTCGAGGGGCATGAAGGATTGACATGGGACATGGTCATGGATGCTTCAGAGACATCAGCGGACCCTAGGGCCATTAGATCTTTAATTCAGAGGACGAGGGTAGAGGAAGAGGAGGATGAAGAGGCAGTTTCAAAAGAGACGGAGGAGGACAACCAATATGTTGAGGAGAGTATCGACTCTGATGCATATGATGCAAATGCAGCTGACCCTACTTTTCTGATGATGAATGATGAATAATGATTAAACTTTAAACATTGATTGAAGATTCTTTTGAGTCTTCAAATATTACTTATTTACTTTCATTTTTGTTTTCTTCCTCTTGTTTGTGTATTGTGGATAATGGATTTGTAGTTCCACTGGTTTGGTATTTGGTAACTTTGGTTTAGTAATATGGTTGGTAAATTTTAAGTTTTAATTGGATATGGACTGACTTATGGTTATGCTTATAGAGTGTGTGCTAATTTGTAGTATACTTTTAAATTCTGATGTGCCCTAAATACCTAATTCGTATATTGTATACAATATATATACTGTTAGAGGCTATATAATCCTTTTTTGATTCAACTGGGCAGCTCAGGTTCTGGGGGCCCGCCTAGGCGCTGGGCGGCCTGGACCCCCCAGGCCACCTAGGACCCGCTTAGCGCTTTTTGAAACATCGCTTCCACCAACCTTCCCTCTCGCCCCTGCGGCTACAGCTGCCCCGGCCTTGATATCTTTCGCATCACTAAAAATCAAGATTTTCATATGGCTGGCTCTCTCATAGAGAGTTCAAATAGTAGATTAGCTACAAAGACGAGGCATCCTGATTCCAAATAGGTGTCATGTGCCTCTCGCAAGAAGAGACAAACAACCACCTCCTACTGCATTGCCCTTACGCCTTCAATCTTTGGGGAGCTATCCTCAGATTATTCAATGTGTAATGGGTGCTACCGGCAGAGGTGACCTCCATCATATGTTCCGTCCAACCTTTCCCTTGGCATAAAGAAGGGATCCTTCTTTGGAAAACGACGGTGATCGAGAGGAATAACAGAATTTTCCGAGGGGAATTCTCAAATTGGCCCAAAGCCTTCAGCAAACTTAATTCCACAATCATTTTTTGGGTGACCAACTACCCATTCTTTGAAGGTGTTCCATCCTCGGCCTTCAACCAGGATTGGAGCAGTGTTCGTCAATTCCATCGTTTGCGATTGCCACGAGCATCAAGATGGAAAGCTCCACCTGTGGGGAAGCTTAAGCTCAACTTTGACGGCTGTTCTCTCGGTAACTCTGGTCCTTCAGGCATCGGAGCCATCCTCAGAGACCACCTCGGTGCTACTGTGGCAACTGTCTCCAAACACATTGGCCACACTAATTCTATGGAGGCCGAAGTGATGGCACTCTTGGAAGGCCTCAAACTCATCCAACCCTTCCACCTGCACTCCCTCCTCGTCGAGGGAGATTCCAAGAACACAATTTCTTGGGTGCAGAGTCTTCCCTCCTCCCATTCACCTTGGCATCTGAACCACTTGTTTGATGAAATTGAATACCTTTGCAGGAATATGTCCGTCATGTGGAATCATACATGGAGGGAAGGAAACCTAGCAGTTGACTCCCTTGCCAAAGAAGCAGCAACAATGGCAAACGACTAGAAGTTTTCTAGCCTTTTTAACTTTTGCTTTCTATTTTTTGGACCCAGTTTGGTGGATAGACCTGTTTTTCTAGGTTGCAGTGTCTCACTGTAACCTCTTAAAAGAGGATTTTGATTCCATTTTTGGCCCTCTCATCCCTTGAGCATCCAACCTTTACTGTGGATTGCCAAGGTCTCTTGTACTTATTCGCTCTTTTATTAAAGGGAAAATATCTCCAAACCCCCTATTTTTAGGTTTCATTTCGCAATAGACCCAAGGTTTTAAAAGATATCTTGGGGCATAAAAATTGTAGATTTTATTTCTTCTAACCCCCTAAGGTAATTTAAACATGTTTTTTAGGCGAAGCAAATCTAAAAAGACATGCCTTTCTAAAAGCCATCCTCCCAAATTTCTCTCTCCCCCACCCCTTCTCTCTCTCTGTCTTTCTCATCTCTCTCCCCTCCCTCTCTCTCCTGCTCTCTCTCTTCATGTTTCCAGATAGAGTGAGAGATGTAGGAAGAGAGAGAAGGAGAGAAGTTTGGGGTATATAAGTGGAGAGAGAAAGGATTGGGTTGCATTTCATGAAGGTGAGAAGTTATTGGGAGGAGAGACACAAGAAGAGAGAGAAAGAGAGAAGTTTGAGGTATATAAGTGAAGAGAGATAAAGGATTGGGTTTAGAAAGTGCATATCTTTCTCATATTTGTTTAGGTTAAAAAATAGGGTTAAAGGGGCCAGGGGGTTAGAAGATATCTTTTGAAACCTTGGGTTATCAAGAAATGAAACCTAAAAATAGGGGATATGGAAATATTTTCTATTTATTAAAGGTTTAACATTTTCGAAAAAAAAAAAATGTAATCACTACTGAAACCAAAGGGAACTGAGCCTAAGTTTCAGTACTATAAGCCACCGAAGGGCAATTCTAATATCTCATCTTTGATCAGTTTCCTTGAGAAACCTTTCGTTGGCCATTTTTGGGGCATGCATACTCTTTAGGGATAGCAAAGAGCTTATATTAAAGTTCTTTGTGGGACCACTTCTACCGTATGATTCCTTTTGGATGGAAGCTCAAGATCTAGGATGATCAGTTCAGTAATCTCCTCTGAGGGCCTAGTGCGACCACATTTCCTATATATGCATATGTGTTCTACTGCTTTGTAATTGAATAAGCAGTAAGAGAAATTTGTGAGTATTAGCTTTTCAATTTTTGCTTTCAATATTAACCTTACCCTTTTGTTTTTCATTTTGTAGATTGCAAATTATCTTCCATTTGATGATGACCTGGACTACCCTGCAAAGCTAGAACGAGCTGCTGAAACTAGATCAAGCACTAATGTCAGTAAAGTTGGGTTTTGTTTCCCCATAATTTATAGTCACATGATGTGTTACTCTTTCTTGCTGTTTACATACATGCATATTCATTTACATCCATTACCAATCTTCAGTTGGTACCTTTCCCATTAGTTAGAAATTGGCTTAGCAAGTCATTATCCATGTATCTACCTTTTTTGTTCTCGAGGCAGTATAATCGAGGTAAGAATTTCCTGGAGACTTTCAGTACAATCGTCATATTCTATCCCTGTGAGTGATGTCATTTTTCTTAAAGAAGTAAACTACGTGAGAAACTAAGTTGGATTTCTGAGCAATAAGTTGGACCCTTAAATAAAGAAGGTGGTTGTATTTTTCTTGAAACGAACTTGTTGACTAAACAGGTTTTCTTCTTCAAGTAATAAATAAAGATAGCAAGATGCAATTACTTGTCCAATATATATATGAAGATAACCAAATGGACAACAAAACAAAACAAAATGCAGTATTTTTTCACCTGGCCTGAAGCCCATCATAGACCACCAGTGTTGAAAAAAGCATTCGGAGCTGCTTAGTTTGCCGGGGTGGGGGCTGGCCGCCTAGGTATTGTTTTCGAGGTGCTCCACATATATGTATATGCATGCATGTTCTCTCCAAACACAATGTGTACGCGTTCCCACACACACACATATAATTTTGCATTCATGTGTATCCCAGACATAGTTTGTTTGCATGCGCTCGCGCATGCCTGAATCACATTGAGATCAGCAATCCTTGATCATTGGTGTTTTGGATGAATATCAAGCTCTGAACTACCCAAAATATTATCTTATAACCTCTCTTGATAGCCAGGGGGAAATTCCCTTCCAAGCCATGACCTGCCGAGGCGGGCAGCTCAGTTGAGGCATAATGCCCCCGCCTAGGTGCTTCCTCAGGTGTCAAGGCAGCTGCATAGGGGCAGGCTGCCTATGAGGGCCATTTCGGCCTCATAGGCTGCTTAGGCAATATCCTGCATCAATGCTGTAGCTTAGGCTCAATGAGGAACTCTTTTTTTACATTGTAGACCGCATACCCAGAAAGTTGGTCACTGCCTCTTACAGCCAACAGGCATCTGCGTTTTGCATGGGAGCCTAACACTACCTACTTCATGCTGTTTCCCTCACCACAAAGAGGCAGCGTCTGAGCATACTCACACTTGGTCCCATATCAACTGATAAATTTCACGGTCATTTCGTTTTTCTAATTTACTTCTGGACGGATGTTGATTGTTTCCTTCCTGCCAGGGATTAGTGGGATCTCTCCGTTTACATGCTTTCTGTTCTCTATTTCAGGCTGATGAAAACTCTGACATTTTCAAAACATGGTATCCACCATTGGAGAAAACCCTCTCTTGTCTGTCAAAGCTTTATCGCTGTTTAGAACCCCCTGTCTTTACTGGTTTAGCGCAGGTTTGTGGTTCTTTTTACTGAATTTTGTGTGCAGTGCTATTTTTTAACCTTGGTAGGATATTGCAGGCATCAATATATTATTTTGCTGCTGAATCTTTTTCCTATCACTTTCAGGATACTGTTGAAGTTTGCTCGACATCTCTCCAGGTCAATAGTAATTTTCTGAAGCAAACCAAATTGGTTCAATTTCTGATTTTTTCCTAGACATCTAGTGAACACTTTATGGCATTATTCTTTTCACTTTTCTTTCTGAAATTTCAATTCTAACCAACATATTTATGATGTTCAATGGTACAAGAAGTTACCATTAGAAAATGATTATGTTCTTCTTCCACTGCTCATTCAGCTTTCTTTATTCCCAGAAAGCAAGCAAACTCGTTGCAAAGAGATCATCCCCAATGGATGGGCAGCTCTTTCTAATCAAACATCTCCTTATTTTAAGGGAACAAGTAAGGATTCTCAAGATTATCATTCTTTTACCTGGAAGTAGTCTTGTTTGAATCAGTATGCATTGTCCTCAACGTTAATTTTATCATCCACTTTCCAGATTGCACCTTTTGATATTGAATTCTCCGTGACTCACAAGGAGCTCGATTTCTCTCATTTATTGGTTAGTTATCTGGACTTAGCTTTTCAGAACTGTATATCACGCTTTCATGGATTTTCTTTTGGGTTAATACTATCATCCTTTGGTTGTTGAGACTTCTTAGCTTTTCACCTTTTGAGCAGTTTATTTATACTTATTGAATGCTACAGTAATTATGTTGTGGTTAAGTACTTATGAAAGTTATCCTGAGTGCTTCGCTAGGAGCATTTAAGGCGGATACTTAGGGGTCAAGCTTCACTATTTGACTGGACAAGGTCAACTTCATTGGCAAGAACTTTGTCACCGCGTGTTTTGGAGAGTCAGATAGATGCTAAGAAGGTATGTGGCAATCCATACTTCCTGTATCCGATATTTTCCCTTGTGTCATCTGGCTTTAACACTTTTGCTTTTCATTTGGGGACAGGAAATTGTTGTTATTTTCTGTAACATTGGAAAAGTAATTTGGATACATGTATGATTGGTGCTGAGCTGCAAGAATTGGCACATTCACCCCATTATTGGCATTAAATATCATAAATTAACCTAGATTCAATGGACATGGTATCTGGTTATTAATGTTCAAGTATTGAGCTCATTTAAGATTGTTGGGATGATGGCTAAAGAAGTCTAGAGTTTAAAATATGGGATTAACTTTTTCTTTGGGTGGTGGAATTGACTAAAATTATGTAAAATAAAGCGATTTAATTTTCATCAGTGTCGGTGTGAATCCTTGATGTTACTTTGGAGAAATGTAAGGCTTTTTATAAGTTGATTTGTTGTTCAATGTTAACTTGCTTATGGTAAACAATGGAGTTCTGCAGGAGCTGGAGAAAAGCCTCACTGCTTGCTGTGAAGAATTCATCATGTCAGTCACAAAGTTGGTTGTGGAGCCTATGCTTTCTTTTGTTACAAAGGTGGAGTATACCCCTTTATCTCCTCTGAAATTTGAACTTTGGTGACAAAGATCCCCTGGTAGGTTCTCAGGACAATATAACATTTTAAGTAGATAAATAAAGTTAGTACATTTTACCCTGATCTCTGAGGAAAAAATATAATATCTGATGCATCTGGTTCTATAACATAGAGAAATGGCGCTGAACCTACTGGTATCACTTAGATTCATGGTACCTTGTTGGGAATAGCTCATTCTGCAGCTCCACTTAACAACTGAGTCAGCGGCTGGGCATATGAATCATCCAAGTCTCAAAGGTCTAGATAATGTGAATTAACCAACAGTGGCATATTGGAGTTGGAAGTGGGGAACATTGGCCAAGTTATTAATATCCACAGTAATGATAAGAATAATAACCACATTACCAATCTAATAATGACAATAATATAGCTGCAGTAGCAAACACACTAGTAGCAGTTGCTGAAAAAATTTAAAAATAAAATACTGGACGTAATAATAATAAATTAATAGTAATGATGATGATGAAGAGGAAGAGGAGCACAGGGAGGAGAAAGGAGACGAACAAGAAAATATTGGTCATTGTTCTGGGAGAAGAGCCAGAATTGTTGTCATTTTAATATTTCATCTTTTTCTTAACTACGACACATGCTAGTTAAAACTTGTCGTTGTAGACTGGTTCTCCCGAGTATGTTCTCTATCTGTAATCTGTTCTGGAAGTGTCCTTCTGCAACTGTTTTAATCCATAGCGTTTGGATCTTGGTAGAACTCAGACGGTGCTAAAGGGCAGCATAAACCACATAGAAAAGGACGTTATAAAATTTTGAAAAGCAAAGCAGGTAGCATGTTGGGCATTTGCTTGAATATGTAGGATTCTCTCAAAAAGGAATGCACTTCTCAATCAGTGCATCTTATGACAAAATATTTGTTGACTATTAGATTGATATTTCTTTTGATAATAGGACATGCTGTTCTGTTAGGTTACTGCAGTGAAAGTTGCATTATCCTCTGGTGCCCAAGACCAGAAACTCAATTCAGTTTTGGCGAAACCTCTCAAGGATCAAGCATTTGCTACACCTGAAAAAGTAGCAGAGCTTGTGAAGAAGGTAGATGTGGTTTCTTCTTTATATGTAATAAATAAATTAGAGAGAGAGAGAGAGAGAGAGAGAGAGAGAGAGAGAGAGAGAGAGAGAGAGAGAGAGTAGTAGTAGTAGTTAGTAGTTAGTGTACGTAGTACGTACGTACGTACGTACTACGTACGTAACGTAACGTAACGTAACGTAACGTAACGTAACGTAA